AAGTGACTCCAAAACAAACAGCAAATGCATCCAACAAATTTGTAGAGTCACAAGCTTGATGTAACCATTGCGTGCTACGAATATGGGAACAAATACTAAACTTTTGACTACTTTAATACACATAAGTGAATTTGTCCCAATACTTTTGGTCCCCTAAAATGGGGGGACTATGTACAAAAAGTGCTGTAATTTCTAAAGGGTTCACCCGATATGGATACACATACCCTCAAATTAAAGCTGATAGTCTGCACTTTAACCCTATAGTCATTGTATCATCAGTGCTGGAGTACAGAGCCAAAACAAACAAAAAATTGTCACTGACCCAATACTTTTGGAGCTCACTGTATGTCTTTTTTCTTAACTGACAAATAAAATCAACCAATCAATCATGACTGTGACAAAGACACACTTTATGTACTGTTTATGTGCCCTTTTATGCTGCTGACAGAATCCCTAGCTCTCCTCGGCTCTGCCATTTGTAGTACCTCTTATCTACAATTTATTAAAGTGACATTTAATGTTTGCTGGAAAGGCTACAGTCGTGACCCTCGGCTGTGGTAAATATGAACACTGCATCACTAACAGGAGGAGAGAAGTAGCCTTGAGCTATTCACTCAAGAGCCCTGTACATAATGAAAGTGGTTATGCTACACTGATTGTTATTCTATAAAGCATTCAGAAACTGCATGTTCGCTTGCAATTCTGTAGTGAGGCTGCTGTTCTAGCTCCCTGACTACATTAACTAAATGTAATTTAAGTTGGTGTGGTTAATTAAGTGCTTTGCAGGATAAATGACCATATAGATAGTAAACAAGAGGCAGAGAATCACTGTGAATCTACATCCTCTCATTGGATGTGCTCTTCACATAATTTACTGTGAGGGAAGGACTTTGCCAAAAGACTCCCAAAGCCTTAATTTCATAAAGTCCTCGGTCTGGGTGGGAAAAGATAGTGGGATGCAAGTGCACAGGCATGTCCTAGCTTTCCGGACCTTGGCCTCATTTAAGCATAATGACCCTGCCATGAGAGTTCTCTGGCCTGCTGCCCTGATGATGGGGAGACAACATCCCCATCAAGTTCCTGCTGGGTGAGATGAGGCTAAAAGTGATATTAAAGGCTGAGGATGCTAGGTGGTTGGTGAGTGAAGGGATATGTTAGGTGTGGTAGGGTATCTAACTTGACCCATCACGCCCCGCTTTAAAGGACCTGTTTGAAGCCAGCGGGAGAGAAAGATGAAAGTGGGAACACAGAACGGGCACCATCTGACGTGGGTCACTCTTTGTCCTACACAATTGAACAAAATACAAATCAACGAGGAGGGTAAAAACACAAACACAGAAGATTATAAATGTATTTGTGATGATAATCACCATGATAAAGGGAACACTGATGATGATGGTGATTATATCAACATGCAGAGAGAATATCAACATGCAGATTTTGTACAACTGGGTCAAGTATAGCTTTTGAAATGATATGGAAATGTACTTGCCATGGTGATGCTGCAGCTGTGTCAGAAGACTGTTGCCATGACATGAGAAATGTGCTTCAATGTACAAAATACATGATATATGTAGCTGTATTTAGCTTTATGTAAAATAATAACTTTCTACTTGAGGGCACAATATACTATTATTGTGAACAAAGAAGAATTAGGTCTGGTGTTTATGTTCAAACACGACAATAGACGCATTTCCTGCAATTCTACAAAGTTTTACATTACTTATAATGCCTTGAGGGGTATATGGAGGGGTATTTTGAAAACACAGTATAAGTCCTCACCATCATTAATGAAGGTATTTCAAGGCAAATATTAAGAATACACAAAAGATTAAGACTGATTTGAACTATGATGCACACATGCATATTTATTTATATATATCTGAGTGTGAACATACAGTACCATGGACAGAGACTGACACCATTGAATGTTGATTTCGCCTATGTGTTCAAATAATGATCAAGTGAGAAATGATGCCCTTGCCCTTGTTGAACTATGTTCGTTATTTTGTTATTTTATTAGGATCCCCTTAGCTGTTGCAAAAGCAGAAGCTACTCTTCCTGGGGTCCACACAAAACATGACATTATCCAGAACAATAATAAACAAGAACAGCTCAAGAACAGCTCAAGGACAGAACTGAACCATCAAATCAAGGAGTAACATGCTAAATCACACGGGTAAGGCCACTAGAGTCCTGCTGTAGTAGTTTAGTGCCTTGTGATCTAATATTTTCATACATCATTGTGAGTCTTCATCAGGTTTGAAGACTCAGTGAGCTTCTAAAACCATGTTCACATTGGCAATTTGAAGTGACTCAAATCCTATTTATTTGCATATCCGATTCCAATCTATTATTTTTCTTGCAGTCTGAACAGCCAAAAAGCACATGGAATCTGATATTTCAAGCCACATTTCAGATAAAAATCGTATTCCTGGCCACGTGACTTGTGTCTGAACTCTCAAATCTGATTTATTTGCCCTCAAGTGTTTTTTAGACTTATTTGGCATATCTTGTTGCTTGCTAGCTACTCTGTTGATAGTTTGACAAGAACATGTGGTAGCTAGCTAACCAGCTTGTTAATTGTTTACAAACAAATTAGTGAGTGAATGTGCTAGAAAGCTAAACAGCTACCTAGCTAAGGCTCGATTTTGAAAGTTGGATCAACTTATCCTTTGAGGCTTTAAAAAGTATTCTTACCCTATGATTTTGAACATTAAAATCAACTGGGAAATGTCCATGGCAGGCATTGTTGTCACCTTAGCTTGATACATAACTTCTGAGGGTTAGGAAGCGCTAACACCACCACCAGTCAGCTTACACTACTGCATACAGTGGTGGAAAAAGTACCCAATTGTCATACTTGAGTAAAAGTAAAGCTACCTTAATAGAAAAAGACTCAACAAAAGTCACCCAGTAAAATACTACTTGAGTAAAAGTCTAAAGGTATTTGGTTTTAAATATACTTAAGTATCAAAAGTAAAAGTATAAATCATTTCAAATTCCTTATATTAAGCAAACAACACTGTTTTCTTGTTTCTTTAATTTACGGATAGCCAGGGTCACACTCCAACAGTCAGACATAATTTACAAACGAAGCATGTGTGTTTAGTGAGTCCTCCAGATCAGAGGCTGTAGGTATGACCAGGGATGTTATCTTGATAAGTGCGTGAATTGGACAATTTTCCTGTCCTGCTAAGCATTCAAAATGTAACAAGTACTTTTGGGTGTCAGGGACAATGTATGGAGTAAAAAGTACAATATTATCTTTATGGATGTTGTCAAAAATTGTAACAAATATAAATAGTAAAGTACAGATACCCCCAAAAATGACTATTTTTACTTAAGTACTTTACACTACTGACTCCACACACACCCGCCATTACTATGACAACTAGCATAGCCTTGTCAGCAAATGACTGCTGTCTGAACACACAAATCCGATTTGGTCACTTGTAACTTGCTGTTTGGACAGACAGTAGTCCAAAACGGATTTGAAAAACAAAACTGATTTGAGCATTAAGGCCTGCAGTGTGAATAAGGCTTAAATAATGCACGGTATTGACCTTCCATTTCTCAAAAATATATATATTTTTCAAATGTCCAAATGTTATCTACACCATATTTTTTTTTTTCCCTCTCACTCTTTTGCTCTCCAATTCTGCCCTCTCGTTTTCCCAGGAGGGAGCCTGTTTGCTGCACTGAAGTGCTCTTCACTAAACTGTCAGCTGAAAGGTCACATCCAAAAAGGAAAGAGAGATGGAAAAATAAGATTGAGACCCTGCCACTCATGTCTGTGTCTAGATGAAAACACAGAATCTGACCTTTACCAGGAAACCAGATTCAAGTGAGCCATCAGACATGGGGATTGCAAGCCAGGACTGTGGGTGGTTGGGAGGGGATCTACATGAAAGGGGTGAGAGAGAGGGGGTAGGTGTATAGGCACAGGCTGACAAAAATCCAGGTAACTAAAATTGTTTGGCAAGCCTAAAGACTATTGTTTGTGCAATACATGAGGCTTCAATCTAAGCACTCACATTTTTATTGTTTATAAAAACAGCAGACTAGAAAAATGCAGTTGCGGTACATACAGTACACAGCATTTTCACTCACATGGATTGTAACAACTACGACTATCTCCGGATGTTAAGCTGTTGCTTTTTATGGTAGAACACAAAAAAACTAACACTTACAAATATGAAGCCAGACATAAAAAACTGCCAACCAGAATAGTAGTTTTTCACTACACAGGAATACCCACAGTTGTCACCACTTTATCTATCTTAAATTTTACTTGGAGTATATATGCTGGACACAACTTTAAATGTTGCTTTTCAAAAACACCTCAGTTCTTATACAGTACTCCACTCATGTTTTTACACAGTATCAGCATTTCTACAGAGACAGGACAACACAATTATTCAGGTGCAATATGCAGAAATCACTCTGCCATTTCCTGGTTGCTAAATTTAGAATAGTTAGCCTAATTTCAGTTTATGTGAAAAAACAAGCATCTAAACCGCTGTGAAATGTGATGTTTGAAGCTGGTGTACAAAACCGAAAGTACAAAACTTAAGAACGGGAAGCATAGAAATAGCGCTCATAGAACAGATCTACCACTTCTTAGACACGCTTTCAATGAGAATTACAGATCTATAAAACTCACATTTCTATGTGAATTTAGTCAGGTCGGCAAAAAAGTTACATATTGCAGCTTTGAGAGTGCTGCGTAGCAGTGATCTAGTCTGCATGTATATGAAAACTGCACAAAGTAGCTAACACCAGTAGTGTGGCACATGTGAGCAAGTTATTTAAGACAGCTTTACAGATCGCTGTCCAGCTTAAACATCAGAATTAAATCATAGGTGTTCTGGCAGTGTGCAGATAAGGGTTACGACCCTCCAAGTCCCTCCTACCCTCTCCTCCGTGCCCCTTCCTATCTATCTTACTCTGGACACATTCACAGCGAGAGCAGCTGTGGAGGTGGATGGATGATCTTCTCAGTTAGATTCCTCCACTACAGCCCCAGACACCACTTCATTGCTGTCCTGCACCCCGAGATTCAGATCTACATCTGGGAGACGCATGGAGAGAGGTGTCACACTCAGATAGGGAAAAAGTCTCTCACACACACACACACACACACACACACACACACACACACACACACACACACACACACACACTTTGAATTGGGGCAATAGAATATCATGCCAGGTCATCCTACCTGCTGTCTGGTCCTGTGTGGTCTGAAGAGGGGTGTGTTTGTGGGGCTGCATCCCACCTGGGACCTCTGCAGAGTTGGGATCCTTAGGGGGCCAGCGGAGTTCCCCACTCTCCACATTGCCCCCATCAGAGGGCTCCACCACAATAGAGGGAAGTCTCTTGGACAGCTTGGGATTCCGCTCATGGGTATCTGGGAAAATCTGGACACAAGAAGTATTACATGTTTTTAAATTTTAGTAATTTAGCAGACACTCTTATTCTTATTCATCTTAAGATAGCTAGGTGAGACAACCACATCAAATCAAATCAAATTTTATTTGCCACATACCATGAAACGCTTACTTACAAGCCCTTAACCAACAATGCAGTTGGAAAAATAGAGTTAAGAAAATATTTACTAAATAAACTAAAGTTTTAAAAAAGAAAAAGAAACACAATAAAATAACAATAATGAGGCTATATACAGTGGGTACCGGTACTGAGTCAATGTGTGGGGGTCCAGGTTAGTCAAGGTAATTTGTACATTTAGGTAGGGGTAAAGTGACTATGCATAGATAATAAACAGCGAGTAGCAGCAGTGTAAAAACAAAGGGGAGGGTGTCAATGTAAATAGTCCGGTTGGCCATTTGATTAATTGATCAGCAGTCTTATGGCTTGGGGGAAGAAGCTGTATCTCAGTATGGTGTATTTACTCTTTATTAGGGTGTTTTACTATTTTTAATAGGGATTTGAGATCCTTGCAATGAGAGCTCATACAACATTTTACAAGAAAGATCCGAAATGAAAGGCACATTTGTAATTGTTTCATTGGTAGGATGTCAATTAATCTCTTGGTTGAGTGACTGGTGGATTGAGGCAACAGTAGACTCACCTGAAAGGATATGCCCTGATCCGCTGACACTGCTCCAGCTACACTGAAGTCCTCTATCACAGGTTCCCGTGTGTTAATCACCTCAGTCATCCTATGAACAACAAGGGGACCATGGCAATACCGTTGATGTATACACTTTTATGCAAATAAACAGATGTGGTTTATTTACATTTTAGTCATTTAGCAGACGCTCTTATCCAGAGCGACTGCATACATTTTCATACTGGCCCCCCGTGGGAATCTAACCCACAACCCTGGCATTGCAAGCACCATGCTCTACCAACTGAGCTACACTATTTCTACCTATAATACATTCATATAGTGCTACTCAAGAAATCCAATGTAATGCTTTTATAATCTCCCCTCTTGGTTGCTCTCTCCTCCCTCCCTCGCTCAACTCTTGCTTATTTTATGACAACTTTGATCAGAGAGACATCTGAAGTGCAAAGCCAGCCTCTGTGGTCCAACGAGACAGCCAATCATTGCCCTTGAAGTTGAAAGTGTTTTGATACAGAAATTATAGCCACTTTACAGGGTACTGTACTTCCAGTCTCATATGCAAATAGGTATACAGAAACCTGGCACTTCAAAAACCACATTAATTCACAAAATATTAAGATTGTGTAGAAGAAACGTATCTGAACCAGGCTTTTTTACATAGTTTTGATGGGAACGTAAGCAGCATACTAAATGGATATCATGATGTCTACCCTGTTTTCATGACTGTTGAAGACTCCCTCGCACTCATTATTTATGTATGCAGTCGTCCCTGAAGTCTGATGTGGTGCTAGAGCAACAGCTGGCACAGGGATACGGAGCAGAAGCAGGCAGTCTAATATAAAAGGCATTAATGAAGTGCCACTGCCAACTCAACAGAACTTCATATTTAAACAGACAGACATGGCTACACTGGGAGTCCCAGATATTCTGGTGAGCAGAAGTTCATAAATTACCCCACTCAGTCAGTTGGACAGACAGCTATGGTTACCATGGATACAGGAGGAGATGTAATCTCTGTGTGATTGTCTGAGTATCACACTTGGCAGTGTGGAAAAGGACAGCTGATTTGGGTGTTTTCATTTATGTATTATAGCAATTACTGATGATATGAGAGTCTGAATTCTGTCCTACTCGTAACCTGGATGTGTTTTATTTCTTCTCTTCTTCGTACTGTGGTACATTTTTAAGACAATTGCTCCTTTATTCCTACTCAAAAGCACATCTTGTCCCTAGACGGAATTCCAGTGGTCACTTTGTGTCTTGACCTCTCGGTCGTCCTAGGTCCAAGGGAAAGGCTTCTCTTATTCATTAACAGTTGTGAAGTCATCTTTACCATGGTTCAATGCGATTGTGAAAGCTTGGGTAGGCCTACACATTGCTGAGGGTTATGATTTGGTATGTAGTGTTACTCCATACAAACACACCTACCTAATTATGGCATGAGTGTGAAACCGTGAATCACATCCTGTGAAAATAAAATACCACAGCATGATGTGACTAGGAGGAAGGGTGTGTGTGCAGGATGAACGCAGATGAAAATAATGTCATCAAGGTGCATCCAACTATTCAAAAGCAAAGTCTGCATACCATTCCAACCTAATAAAGTGTTTCTCCTGTCACTCAGAGACACAGGTTCAAAAACAGTTGGTGTTATTTATATTTTCCTAATTCAGAGCTAAGCAATATTGTTTAGCTGGAGTGACTGCTAAAATGCACTCACTTATATCCAATCCTTTCATAAAAGTGAGGCCTAAGAAATAAGACATAGGAAAGGAGGTGACTCTGATATTGAGGTGCACCCATGTCCTTCTATGACACAATATGATTGCAATAATCCAGCTCTCTCCAAAATTACGACCCATATTGATAACTCGGTGATCTATCAGTACTAAACTGTTGAATCACTACATTTGTGAACTTATTCTCTATTATTATAGGATATTTGAGTTAGTCCTAAGCCATTTGTTGTTAAACACAAACTTTTTATAGGCTACTAACTGTAACTGCGCGCACCTTAATCATCATGCCTACCTGTTGGGAGCCTTTATAAACGTATTATGTCCTTCCAAGCTGAGTTGAGGTAGGCTAGATGTCCAGTGAAAACAGTGCAAACAATATATTTTCTTCAGAATGGCTTTTTTCCCAGAATCGTGATAGAAATCCGGTACACAAGTGTCCGTTACACCGTGACGTTCCAAATGAAGTTTCCCCACGCACGGGAGTACTGGAGCATGCGCACTTGCGCATTCGGTAGAGTCGACTTGACGCCACAGCCTACTTCAAATCAAAATGAAATAAAATTGTATTGGTCGCATACACATATTTAGCAGATGTTATTGCGGGTGTAGCGAAATGCTTGTACTGAGACAAAGGGTAGGATAGAGAGAGCAGAGCAATTGATTATTCTGCCAAATGTATTACCCAAGACTGTACACTATGGCAAAATTAGACCCGTCGAGCGCTACAAAAACTGATATTTGAAACATGGCGATAAAACATGGTGGTTTTTACTAGTTACGACAGCCAAATTGTCTAGGCCTAAAGGCATATCATACAAATTCATGAAAACACAAATGTGTTTTTTTGTCTTAATTTAAGGTTAGGCATAAGGTTAGCAGAGTCGTTAAGGTTAGTGTTAGTTAGGTTATAATTCACATTTTAAGAAGATAAATTGTAGAAAGGTGGGGTTTAGCCATAATTATGACTTTGTGGCTGTGATCACTACAAACCAGGTTTCCAACCTTTTTATGCGAGTAAAGTAGCCTACATGTTGGATAAAAAAAGTCATGACAGGCCTAATGGACACAGAACATTTTTTGGTAAACTTTCCAAATGTCGACAAAACTAAATATGCTAGACAAGGTGGGATCTTTTTGTGTCGGTAAATTGAATTATGCAAGAAATGTTTTTGGAACGCTTTTATGCGCAAATATTGAGATAATAACTATCATATGGAAGTAAACTTGGAGTCATGCAATGACATGTAGTGTGGTCCTCCTACTACAACTCATTGGGAAAGCATGCACTTTATTAGGCTACAGATGAAATGAATTATGTTCATTCACAGGTTGGTGAAAGTGCAAGGTGATGAGCTTGATGCTCCTTTCCAATAAATATTGAGGGTTTTATTCTGGTGACATGATCATCGATGCTTGGCTGCCTTTTAACAAATAAAAATAATCTCGCTCTTTTGTCCATAACAATCTCCTCATGTAGGCTATACATGCGCTCTAGCCCAGGGTTTCCCAAACTCGGTCCTGGCCCCCGCACGGGTGCACAGTTTGGTTTTGCCCTAGCGCTACACAGCTGATTCAAATAACCAACTCATCATCAATCTTTGATTATTTGAATCAGCTGTGTAGTGCTAGAGCAAAAATCAAAACGTGCACCCAGGGAGGGCCCCAGTACCGAGTTTGGGAAACCCTGCTCGGGCCAACAGCGCCAGTATATGCTCGGTGTTGGCTAGAGCGCACATGCCAGTACCAGTGGCGATTTTAGCATGTCAATCTTGGTGGGGCAAAAAAACAAAAACATCTGGGAAGCATGCCAGCAAAGCCACTACACAACACAACACTAAACAATACATTAATTGCACTATAACAGTGACAAATGGTGCCCACAAACTGTTAGCGCCTAGATAAAGCTGTCCCAACAGCAGAGTCCCAACAGCATCCCAACATCTTACCACTGCTACACCTGGCTATCAGCGGAGCGATGTCTGGCAGCGAAACAGTTAATTCAGCCTCATTTACTGCCTTTAAAAAAACATAGCTGATATGGCTGACTTACTTAAACAAAAGTGGTTTCTACTGACAATTGAGATGTACAAACTATGGTATAAGGGGACGACAAGCGGATAAGCGGTATGACGCAGCCGTCATACCGCTCAGGAAGGAGACGCGTTCTGTCTCCTAGAGATAAACATACTTTGGTGTGAAAAGTGCAAATCAATCCCAGAACAACAGCAAAGGACCTTGTGAAGATGCTGGAGGAAACAGGTACAAAATAATCTATATCCACAGTAAAAACAAGTCCTATATCGACATAACCTGAAAGGCCGCTCAGCAAGGAAGAAGCCACTGCTCCAAAACCTCCAAAAAAAGCCAGACTACGGTTTGCAACTGCACATGGGGACAAAGATCGTACTTTTTGGAGAAATGTACTTTGGTCTGATGAAACAAAAATAGAACTGTTTGGCCATAATGACCATCGTTATGTTTGGAGGAAAAAGGGGGTACCTTGCAAGCCAAAGAACACCATCCCAACCGTGAAGCACGGGGGTGGCAGCATCATGCTGTGGGGGTGCTTTGCTGCAGGAGGGACTGGTGCACTTCACAAAATAGATGGCATCATGAGGAAGGAAAATTATGTGGATATATTTTTTTATTTTTTATTTTTATTTCACCTTTATTTAACCAGGTAAGCCAGTTGAGAACAGGTTCTCATTTACAACTGCGACCTGGCCAAGATAAAGCAAAGTAGTGCAATAAAAACAACACAGAGTTACATATGGGGTAAAAAAACATAAAGTCAGAAATACAACAGAAAATATATATACAGTGTGTGCAAATGTAGCAAGTTATGGAGGTAAGGCAATAAATAGGCTATAGTGCAGAATAATTACAATAGTATTAACACTGGAATGCTAGATGTGCAAGAGATTATGTGCAAATAGAGATACTGAGGTGCAAAAGAGCAAAATAAATAACAATATAGGGATGAGGTAGTTGGGTGGGCTAATTTCAGATGGGCTGTGTACAGGTGCAGTGATCGGTAAGGTGCTCTGACAACTGATGCTTAAAGTTATTGAGGGAGATAAGAGTCTCCAGCTTCAGAGATTTTTGCAATTCGTTCCAGTCATTGGCAGCAGAGAACTGGAAGGAATGGCGGCCAAAGGAGGTGTTGGCTTTGGGAATGACCAGTGAGATATACCTGCTGGAGCGCAGACTACGGGTGGGTGCTGCTATGGTGACCAATGAGCTAAGATAAGGCGGGGATTTGCCTAGCAGTGATTTATAGATGGCCTGGAGCCAGTGGGTTTGACGACGAACATGTAGTGAGGACCAGCCAACAAGAGCGTACAGGTCACAGTGGTGGGTAGTGTATGGGGCTTTGGAGACAAAACGGATGGCACTGTGATAGACTACATCCAATTTGCTGAGTAGAGTGTTGGAGGCTATTTTGTAAATGACATCGCCGAAGTCAAGGATCGGTAGGATAGTCAGTTTTACGAGGGCATGTTTGGCAGCAATGAGTGAAGGAGGCTTGTTGCGAAATAGGAAGCCCGATTCTAGATTTAAAACTTTGGATTGGAGATTCTTATGTGAGTCTTGGCAGTTGAGTTTACAGTCTAACCAGACACCATAGATATTTGTAGTTGTCCACATACTCTAGGCAGACCCGTCGAGAGTGGTGATTCTAGTCGGGTGGGCGGGTGGCAGGCAGCGTTCGATTGAAAAATATTGAAGCAACATCTCAAGACATCAGTCAGGAAGTTAAAGCTTGGTCGCAAATGGGTCTTCCAAATGGACAATGACCCCAAGCATACTTCCAAAGTTGTGGCAAAATGGCTTAAGGACAACAAAGTCAAGGTATTGGAGTGGCCATCACAAAGCCCTGACCTCAATCCTATAGAAAATGTGTGGGCAGAATGAAAAAGCGTATGCGAGCAAGGAGGCCTACCAAACCTGACTCAGTTACACCAGCTCTGTCAAGAGGAATGGGCCAAAATTTACCCAACTTATTGTGGGAAGCTTGTGGAAGGCTACCCGGACCGTTTGACCCAAGTTAAACAATTTAAAGGCAATGCTACCAAATACTAATTGAGTGTATGTAAACTTCTGACCCACTGGGAATTTGATGAAAGAAATAAAACCAGAAAGAAATCATTCTCTCTACTATTATTCTGACATTTCACATTCTTAAAATAAAGTGGTGATCCTAACTTACCTAAAACAGGGAATTTCTACTAGGATTAAATGTCAGGAATTGTGAAAAACTGAGTTTAAATGTATTTGGCTAAGGTGTATGTAAACTTCCGACTTCAACTGTATAACGTGATTTTACGTAATTGTATCTGTGGCCAATGACCTTGAGCCTTCTTGGATGGGCACTTCTAATGTAACTCTATGGCAGCACCCAAGGGGCTTGAATTTTCGAGCTCTACACTTAGACTTGGAGTTGATGTAGTGTCCCCATGAGTGACAGAACACTGAGCCAATCACAGCGCAACTAGAGAACATTACCAACACCTATGCTCCTTATTTTCCGCTTTTTTTTCGTACATGAGAATGTAACCGCAAAGGGTATTTTCATGTGCACTAAATCATCACGCAAGACTTTTATCTGCAACAAGTCAATTTGATGGAAACACATCTCTGATGGGAAAATGCGCATATTGTTTTTATGTGGATTTTAGAATATTCGCATGAAAATCTGTCACCAATTCAATAGAAACCTAGCTAGTGACGACCATAAAACGTATAGCCTAATGAATGCGCCATGTCGACCATGCCTCCACCACCGAACACCTGCGCCACTAGCTGTTTCCAATACCTTTTCCAGTAATTTTTTGGTGGACATTTACAAAGTTTGCATAGAAACTTGATGCGACAATTGCGTTTCCATGAAACTGTCTCCTGTTGAGAAAAACCGCTGGATGTAATGACATCACACCTAAAAAATATTTGTACAAATCCCCCCGCAAAAACCTAGTGTCGAAAAAAATTAAGTGGTTGAAGTGTTTCCATTATCCATTTAGCCAAATTGCGCATTAATAAATTGGTGACTGCCTGCATGCCCTTCCACCTATCTGTTTTAATGTCTCAGGTAGCCCGCAAAAACCAGCATGGATAGGGTGCAAGAATGGGCAAATATATGCCATATTCTAATCATTCATGTGCCACCATATCACCACGGGTCCGTGTGAGATTTGTAGTCCTGTTAATCTGAAATGATTGGATTGTGAAATTTACATTCAGCCAACCAGAAAAGCAATGCGAAGCAATGCAGGCATTCTTGAAAGTCAAGAATAGAGTTGAAAAATAGATTTAGCAAGCAGTAGGCATTTAAAATTACATGTGGAGTGGAGCTTTTATAGTTACATGATGACATCAAGTTCCCCGTGTACCTTCAAAATTATTAGGCAATCATAATTTATTCGAAAACCCTTTCCATCATAATTTAACGCAATAAAGAAAGTTAGACAAA